AGAGAGAGGGAGGGAGAGGGAGGGAGAGAGGGAGGGAGAGGGAGGGAGAGACGGGGAGAGGAGACAAAGGGAGAGAGGGAGAGGGGGAGAAAGGGAGAGAGAGGGGGACCAGGAAGAATGAAGAGGAAGTCTTCGTCTTAGAATCGTACACTTTGTTCTATTTTCTAGAAGCGAGTCACTAAATCCAGCACACACTCAAGGGGAGGGGAAGTCAATTCCATCTGGTGAAGGGAGGAGTACAAAGAATCTGCGGCCATAGTTTTAAAGCACCACAATCAGTTGGGAATCCTAACTGCAACTGAAAGAAAATCCATCTCAAAACGAAATAAACAATGGGAATTTATTTGCTTCCCAAACGAAAAGACCCTGCAGGCAGACAAGTTTCGTGAGCAGTTTGCTCGGAGTTCTGGCTCCATTTCTCTGTCCCCTCTGTGTTGAAGCATCCTCAGGCTGGTTGCCTACCAGCAACAATGGCTGTAGCAACTCTAGGCCTCTACACGCACTCACTCCCTTCCAGAGCACCTGGGGGGGGGGGGGGGGTCTGCCTCAGCATCCCCCAGAGGTCAGAGGTTCACTCTGATTGGATGGGCTTGGATCACATGACACTCCTCCCCGCCTCAACCAGGCGTTGGGAGGCCTTGATTGGTTCCAGTGCTCCACCCCTGAACCAGGGCCGTGGAGACCCTTCCCTGAAAGCACAGGGGCCCCAAACAGAAACCTGGGCCTCGGGGAAAAGAGGAATGGATGCTACAGAGGCAACCGTGAATACCTACTACAAAAGTCAGGGAGGTTTTTGTCAGCTTTTTAAAAGGTTGGGTAGACAGCGTTTTTGTAATCTGAAAGACAAGAAAGTAGTAGAGACGTAGAAATTGAAGAGCAAGGGAATGTTACTACGAACGCTGGAGACACAGACCCAGAGCGGAGGCACAGTGGTTCTCGGTAAGGAGTTGGAGAACTACCGTTCCTCTGAGACCAGGGACAGCAAGTGGAAAGATGCGAGAAAATATGGAGTCAGATTTTCAAAAGGGGAGGGAGGCTGAGGCAACCCCCGCTGGTGGTGTTGGGAATGAGAATGAAGCAGGTGATGTCACCAACTGAAAATAAGGGGGGAAGTCAAATAGGGCATTTAAGGGGTTGAGATAAAATGGATTGAATGGGCTGTCTTAGAGGCTAAAGTTAATGGCATTTTTCATGCTAGTAGAGCTAGAAAAACTCTGCTGTCATAAGAAAGCATAAGCAGGGCTAGAAAAGCTGGAAAGCTCTGATAGAAGAGAAAACCTAAATAATGCTGTAAGGGAAGATAACAGCACTGAAGGGAAATAGTACTCGTTGGAGAAAGAGGTTAAGAAATAATTCAAGTTATAAGGAAGTGGGAGTTTAAAGCAAGTTTTAAAAAAAGCAACTAAGACAAATATCAAGAATAAGATATTCTAATCTACCTTTCCAAATTTAAGCATATGTTCCATATTATTCTTTTCTCTGCAGATAATGCATCACAGAGTATTTGGGTTGACTAGGAGTAATTTTTTTTTATTTTTTTCCTTTTTCTCCCCAAAGCCCCCCAGTACACGGTTGTATATTCTTCGTTGTGGGTCCTTCTAGTTGTGGCATGTGGGACGCCGCCTCAGCGTGGCTTGATGAGCAGTGCCATGTCCGCGTCCAGGATTTGAACCAACAAGACACTGGGCCGCCTGCAGCGGAGCGCGGGAACTTAACCACTTGGCCACGGGGCCAGCCCCTGACTAGGAGTAATTTTTAATTCCCACCACTACTGCTAAATCTTGACTAAGAAGTCAGGTGGAACAGCGGCTTCTTTTTTTATTATTAAGCATGTAGACTAGCAAAGGGAGAATTTATCTTTTCCTTTATTTAACATATTCTAAAAAATCCCTCTTCACGATAGCCTAAGTAACGATGGCTTCTGGGAAGGAATCCTTGCCCTGAAATAAAGTAAGGAGGCCCTTTGTTTATATTCACACTCATCTGGTTCTGAGTTTTGTTAAGAAAAAGTAGCATGAAAGAAAAATAATAAAAATATTTGAAAAATCTCAACTTGGAGCATAAGGTCATGAAGAAAGGCGACCTTGGTTCATCTTGCCTTAGGACAGTGACCTTGACAAAGGACTTTGATTTGAAATTGGTTAATGGGTTCCAGAGAATGAAGGAGCTGTTACAAGTATAATGTGCATTTCTTGAGAAAAGGAAACCTTGCTGGAAACGTTTAACCTTCGATCTTGCCTCATAAGAGGTTGAAGGGGGTCAGACAGACCAGGACCACATGGAATTAAGAAGGGCTTATTCTCCCTGAGGGTGAATTTCTCCCACTAGCTCTTCCCTGGGCACACAGTTTACTTTCTACTAGAAGGCTCCTAATTGTTTGGGGAAACACTTAATACCTTCTTACTACCAAACCCTTCAGTAGGCAACATAAGATGAATGCTGGGCAAAACACAGTGTCAGTTTCTTTCTCAAGGCAGAAAAGGACGTCAAGATATCCTTGCTTACCAGAACAACCATCATTTATTGAGCGTTTACCACGTGCTTGGCATTTTACACACATCATCTGATTTAATCCTTCTAATAATCCTACCAGGTGTGTAGTATCATCCTTTTACGAATAAAGAAATAGGTGCAAAGAAGTCAAGTCTTAGGCCAGGCTCACAGAGCTAGTGGGTTGAAACGACGTCTGTTTGATTCCAAAGCCCACACACTGTCATTTGCACCACTCTGTCTAAATAAACTGAAAAGAACTTCTTAACATTTATAATGAAAAGAGTCAACAGTGGAAAGAAATGGAAAATAAAATACTTTTTAAAATGTTGATAATTAAATACAAATTAAATTCAAAATCAAATGTTACTCATAATCACATTTTACTCACTGTAAAATATACTGAGACAAATACATGGAGGACAGATAGCAGAAATACTTTTAGGTCAGAAGCAGGCCCAGCTGCAAATGATAGGATGTGGCTGTGGAATTTAGGGACGACACAAGCCTGTCAGAAAGCAAACAGGTCAGGTCCTGGAGCATCAAGAAGAACCCAAGAACCCAGGGGGAGAAAGGACGATGGTTGCTGAAGACCAGTGTGGCAGTGAAATTCACCTATATAGTTTCATTCAGTAGAAACACTAATAAACCTAGGCAAGAAAAAATAAGTACTGTAAGCAGCAGAGCTAAATTGACCGTAGAATCTAAAGGGCAGAATTTTCGTGTCAGCCCCAGGAGTCGTCACTTTCACATTTGCTGGTATCATGAAAATATGGATTGCCCATATTTAGAAAAGCTCACAGCAGGCAGGAATACTTCCAGCCTCCTGCCGCAAAATCAGGAGATGTCAATCACCACTACGTGTTTTTGCACAGCGCTTGGTGGATACGATAAGGCTGCTATTATAATGAGTTTATCCTGGATTGGCCCCAGCATATAAAATAAAACTATAATATTATAAGCCAGTTCTGTACTTTGTCACGCAGATCTATCCCGGGGCAGTGATTCTCAACCAATGGCCTCCTCCCCCTCCCCGAGAGGGCACGTGGACTGGAGAAGTTTTTGATCGTTACAACGTGGAGGGCGGGGTGCTGTGGCATCTAGGGGGCAGAGGCATCCTGTAATGCACAGAACAGGTCCCCACACAAAGAAAGACCCAGCCCCAAACGTCAGTAGCGTCGGGGTGGAGACGCCCTGGACCAGAAGAGGCTACTGCATTTGTGGCCTGAGGGGTGGTTTTGGTCACCGCTGTTTGGAGCTCCCCACTCTCCTAAGTATCACTTCTCAGGCATCATCGCTTCCCGCACAGAGGTCATCAGAAGGCCTAGAACGTGAACCAGAGACGGCATCGTTTATTTTTCTTTCTGTCTAAAACAATAAATCATCCTGTAGCTCAGGTATCAGGTTCCCTCGGTTGTCACTGGCGTCCCTGGGGCTTTTCTGACATCAACAAACCGAAACCCAGGGCCCTTGGGCGCCCGGCACGCGGCTGGGTGAGATTCCTCCCCCGCAGCAGCGCGCGCAGCAGAGCCCTTGTGGTGGGAAAAGCAAAATCCCTGGAGAACCAGGCGTTTTCGTAACGTCATTTATTTAGTCTAGAGGAGAAATTTTGCTCTTTAAGAACAGGAAGGTTGCGGATTCCCAGAAGCTGGAAATCGGCCGAGAGAGTGCTTGTCCACTGGGGAAGTCAATCACGTAGAGTTTACTTAAAAGGACGAGGCGAGGGGGAGGGTGCTGGAACCCCCCCACCCCCCGCCCCGATCCGGCCAGTTTCCCGGCGCTGGAGCCTCCTCCACCTTGGGCTGCTCCCTCCGGAGGGGGCGGCAGCGCCCCGGGGCCCGGCCCGGCCGTCGGCAGGGGAGCAGGTCTGCGTTCCCAGCTCCCGGGCGCTCCTGGAAGCGGCCGGGCCCGTGCCGAGGGGCGGCGGCGGCGGGAGCGGAGCCGGGACGTGGGAGGTGCCGGCGGCGGGACGCGGCGGGCGGAGGCGGGCCTCTGGCCTTTGTCTGCCGGCCTCAGCCGGAGGCGGGTCGAGCCAACCGCGGCCGCCCCGCCGACCCCGCGGAGCGGCCGGGGACTCGGCCGGGACGCCGGGGCGGGGCTCCGCAGGCCACGCCCACCGGGGGGTCTTTAAAAGGTGAGCGCTCTCGCCGCCGCGGCGTCCTGACTCGCGCGCCCCCTGATTCGGCTTCAGTTCTCCGCCCGCTCTGCGTGGTCCTGCTCCGACTCGAGTGAGTACCGGCGATGGGGGCGTGTCTGCTGACCCCGAGGGGGGCTCTCAGGGTCCGCAGGCCGCCCCCCAGCCCCTCTGACATCCCTGTCGCTCTCCCCGTGTGGCCCCCAGCCACCCTCCGCACACCTGCGCGGCTCCCCGCGGCCGCCCCGGAGCCCGCGCGCGGGGGCAGGGAGGTGACCGCGCGCGCCCAGCACACCGTTTCCCCGGGAGGGAGGCGACTCGAGAGTGTCGCGGCGTCGCTCGCCCGCCGTTCAGCAGCCGAGGGCCCCTCAGCCCGCGCCGTCCTCCTCCGGCGGGGGCGGCATCCGAGTCTGGGGGCTCCTCTGCTCCGAGTGCGGCGGCGCTGGCGGCGACCTCCCCGGGGGCTGCTTAGGAGCCCTGGGGGTGCGGTAGGGGCTTCGACAGCCCCCCAGTCCAGAACCCTTCCCGGCTGCGGTGCTGAGCTCCTGGCACCCCCATTGTTTGCTGGTCTCTGCCCGCCAAGCACTCAACCTTAAATGTTGAAGAAACAGCGGTGAAACGTCAGATTGAGCACTCCCAGATTTTTCCGGAACTTTCTACAATTCAGGTACAACCAGGAAAGCAAGAAGGCTCGGTTGTGAAATTCTGCAACAGGTCCTGCAAATCACATCCTGGGTTCCAAAGCTCCACGCAGGCAGCCCCTAGGGGCACGGGGGTTTTCTAAGTGGATAGACACCCCACCCAAGCCAGGACGTTTGTTGCTTAAATGGTTACCCAAAATGTTAAACGTGTTTGATTTGCAGTCTGCACACCAAGCACGTTTTCATTTTATAAATGCTTTTTCTTTTTTTTTTTTTAAGAGTGGCGCCTGAGCTAACAACTGTTGCCAGTCTTCTCTCTCCCCCACCCCCCCCCTTCTTCTCCCCAAAGCTCTCCAGTACATAGCTGTATATCCTAGTTGTGGGCCCTACTGGTTGTGCTGTGTGGGACCCCGCCTCCGCATGGCCTGCCAAGCAGTGCCGTGTCCACGCCGGGGATCAAAACCGGCGAAACCCTGGGCCACCGAAGCGGAGCGCGCGAACTCACCCAGTCTCCACAGCCGGCCCAATGTTTTTTATTTTGAATACTGATTTTTTTTTTTAACTCGGGCAGTAGAAATGGTCTTAGTTCTTAACTTTTCTGATTAATCTGTTTTAAAGCTCTACTTATAAAATGCCAAGAATTCGAGTAGGACAACCACAGAGCTGGCTATAATTTGACTCAAATTTTTCAGGAAAGAGATGGGTGGTAGATTCTAAAAGGGTGAATCTCACGTCATTTGAAAACTGCGTACCACACTAGGACCGATTTTATGAAGTCATCTCTGGTCTCCCCCACTCCGCTTGATCATCACTCTCAAGCTGTTGCCGCTGCTACTTTGTCAGTATGTCTCCGGGTTCTTTCTACTCTGGGTTCTAGTGTCCTTTGCTTCTTTAGAGTGAAGTTATGTAGCGACAGTGTCTGCGTCCTGTGAGTCTGTGAAACGGTGCTTGCTTGGGTGCCTTGAGCACGGCTGGACCAGGGCCAATATTGGTGAATTGAATGAAAGACGGAGTAAAGTTGCAGTTGTGGCCATTGGGAATTTAATTGGACAGACAATAGATACATTAGCAGATTTAAGCCAAGGCTTCCGTCATAATTTTTTACTGAATTCCTCCAAAGGTATTCAACAAACGTTGATTGATGCTGGTATATGCTAACTACTGTGTTGAAAGCAGTACTCACTGGAGATCTGTCCTGATGAATTGCCAAATCACTTGGGTTTGAAGAAATTGTAATTTATACTAAAACAGCAAGAATGTTGGCATAGAGTAGAGGGGGCAGCAGTAAATGAGGAGCTTTAGAAGCCTGGGTCCAGCCTCAAGGCTGCCGCTAAACGGCTGTGGAGGTCTGGGCCTCTCATTTTCCTTCTCTGTCAAAAATTAGGTAAATCAGATGAGCTGGGGCTTGTGAGCCCCCTGTGGGAGAGGAGGGCAGACCCACATTCACGTCCCAGCTCCAGCACCCTCTGGCCTCAGTTACTTCATCTTGTGAAGTGGCTGTAATAGCAGACCTGGCAGGCTTGGCTGAAGGCGCATTGATCGTTGCACAAAGGCCAGCCCAGCCTGGGAGAGATTCCTGGGCATTAGCCGCTGAGCTACAGGTGGTGGAATACCTGGGGATGCGGCCGGCTGGGGCGCCTCTTCCAGAGCAGCGTGCCTCCCGAGGGAGGGCATCTGCGAGGCAGCGCCTGGAAGCCAGCGTTCCCTCTGCTGACTGGCACCGGCTCCTCGAGGCGCTGTGTGGTTCCTGGCCTGGTATTTGCATGGGCTCCCTTGGGTTCTGTTGGGTGGCGAGTCCCCAGACTCCCTGAGGGCCTTGATTACGTAGAATGGTGATACTTTACTGTTTCTGTGTTGTGGACCCTTCTGGCAGTCTGGTGAAGCCCCAGAACCCCTGCTCAAAATCTTAAGTGCATAAAGTACACGGTACCAAGTTCACCAATCCCCAGAATTTCAAGGAATCCTTGGGTTAAGAACCCTGCCTTAGCGGCGTTTTCTCAGACTGGACTGTGGAGGAGCCAGGCACAAGTCCTGAGGTTTTGGTGTGGGCGACGGAGGAGGCACACTGAATCCTTGCAGATGGTATCAGGTTTCTTGCTTTGTTGTTTGCCATCTCATGCTAACAGTGCGACTAACTGGCCTTCACTAAGAAGAAGAGGACAGATACCATGTAATACATTAGGGCCAAATGACTTTCCCAGTTCCCTCTGGGAAGGGTTTCCTGGTGGCTTCAGCGTCCTTCCAGAAGAGCAGAGTGAACCGCTCCTTATGCAGCACACCAGTACAGGAAGCACCCAGCGTAAGAGGAACCCGGGCCAGAGCCACAAAGTCAGTACTGCATTTGCGTTCTCAGCAGTGGTTTAGTCTTAGCGAAACATCAGTCAAATAAGCTCAATACAGTTTATTTGAATTTTATTGGTATTAATTTTTAAGTTGAATTGGTAATTTTGTTTGGTTTCGGTTATAATCTACTTAATATCTCTCTACCTCAGCTTGCCTGCCTGTAAAATGGGGATGATGATAATGCCCACCTCCATTGTTACTAGGAAGTAAATCAGGTGATAGAAGTAAGTTACTTAACAGAAGTGAGGCATCTGGTAAGCTTTATGAAAGTGTTTGTAATCACTGTTACTTATCATGTGGCAGGCACTATTCTAAGGGCTTTACATATGTTATTTAATCTCAGAACAGCTTTATGATATAAATAAGTTATTTCCATTTTTCAAAATGAGAAAACTAGCAGATTAAATATCCACCCTAAGATCATTTGGCAAATAAACAGTAATCTTGGCATATAAATCTCGGTCTGACTCCATGTAAAAATCACATAAATGCTGAACTGTTTGAATGAATAAATGTCTTGTAGATTGCACAGATTGTGGATTGCTGTGGCAGATGCTGAAAGTCGGGGTGACCGAGTTTACAGCATAGTTGGATTCTGATGACAACATGGGATTGGCAGGTAGTATCCAGATCTGGCAGGGATTTTGCTGTGCTCCAAGTTGAAGACACTGGTAACAAGGTACAGAATTAGTAATTAACGGTGTGATTGTAGTGAACCCAGGACAGCTAGTGGCTGCAAGGAGGTCTCTCTGTGAGGTCAGACTGGGGTTAGCGGAGAGGAGTGGTAGAGAGCTGTTCGGGTTGAAAGCAGCACTTGGAGCGTGAGATCGGCACACATTGGACACTTACTAAGGGCTAGTTGGATGGATGAAGGCTGGGCAGGGGAAGTGTTCCTATGTGCAGGTAACTCAGGAATTGATAATTCTCGCGTGATTTGAATGGCCTCAACCTTTCAATCAGCTGTGGAGTTCTGGGGCTAGCTTGTGGCTCTGGAGTCAGACATGAATGGTTGAGCCTGGCTTTGCATCTTTGGAGGTCAGTGACAGCAAGTCACCTAACGACTGAACTTTTCCTAGCCAATGTCAGGCCCAGTAGTGCTCCTGAAGGAACAGAAAGCCAACATTTGTGGAGTGAGGCTCTTTGCCAGGTACTTTACAGAGTTACCTCATTACATCCTTATAACTGCCCTATGAGCGAGTGCGCATCCAGTTCCGAGTTATAGCTGGGGAAACGGAGGCGCAGAGGTTAGCACCACAGATCTGGTAACTGCCTGTCAGACTTAGACCTATCTGATTCTAAGTTCCACACTCTTTCTCTTATACCAGGAATGTCTTATAGGTGGCACGCGCACTGCAATTTCCATGGCAGACATTATTAATCAAAATAATCTTTAATGCAGAACCTCAGCTGAACTCCGGAATCGTTTTCAACATAGTTTGAGTAACCCACTATCAGTGAATCTACAAGATGATACCATTTCGCCGTCCTGTCTGTATAAGGAGAGGATGCAGACTTCCCAGAGCCCTCTCTGCGTGCCTCTAGGTCATGGGTTATACTGTATTGCTCTTGTTTGTTTACATATTTCTACCACCAAAGTGGAATTCCTATAAGCCCAGCCCAGGATATGGCTTGTAAAATGTTGAATGGATACATTTCTCTGAGGGCTTCATAAACAGTAAAGCATCGTACAGCGTTTGTTAGCTGCCCTGTCCAAGAAGAACTGCTTGAGGTTCAGAAATGAAGTCAGGGGCAGCTGGACAAGGGAGGGAGGTGAGAGCTGGCCTCATGTGGAGGGATTAGGGGCATAAGGAAAAAATGGATATATGAGACGGGCAGGAGAAGAGGAGCATTGATGACAAAGACTGAACATTGCGAAATCATGATGTTAGAGTCTACCATGGGCCAGCCCAGGGGCATGTTAAGTTTGTGTGCTCCACTCCTGTGGCTTGCAGGTTCAGATCCCAGGTGTGGACCTAGCACTGCTTGTCAAGCCATGCTCTAACGGCATCCCACGTAAAATAGAGGAAGACTGGCAACAGATGTTAGCTCAAGGCCAGTCTTACACACACACGTGCTACCAGTAATGGAGCGCCTACTATAAGCATTTTCTGGTCTCATTCTCTTAATAACTCTATAAGGTACTGTTATCTTCATTCTGCATATGAAGGAAATGAGACTGTGCTAACTCCACGATCCATGCTCTTAATTCACCCTTGGGCTGAGCTGTCTTAAAGGCCAGCTTGAAGACAGAAGAACCAAATGGAACATGAAACCAGCTGACTGCTAAGACATGATGAGTCTGTCCTTGGTTCAGTGGTAGATAGGGAAGGAGAATAAGCAGGGTAGCAGAAGAAAAAATTTTAGAATGGACATTGAGTAAAGCTTAATTTCCAATTAACTACAGCTCTCAAACTCCAGCCTTGTTAAAAATTACTGTAATGGGAGACAATGCTACCAACTTACATATTTTTTAATAAGCGACCCCTCTGGATGTAGCTCAAGATGAAACTAGTTTATAATAAACGCTCCCCTTTCAGGAAATTGGATTATAGCCAGGTTCTAGAGTAAGAACAAAGCCCTGTATGTAGCAATAAGTTGTCAAAGCTTCTGGAAGCATTTAGAATCTGGGTTTATAGATGGATTCACTCCAAACCTTTGGTATCCGAGCAAATAACATACACTGCAAGTGGCGACGTGTAGACACGAAACTCACGGATTCAAGGCATGTAGATTCTAAAAGCAGACAGTGCGGCCCAGGTGGTGAGAATGAGCCATGTGGCCATCCGCTGCTCTCGCTGGGCATCTAGAGGATGAGGTAACGTTACCACAGAAGGTGCCTCAGGTTTAGACGACAGTAATTTTCTTCTGGGGGTAAGTCTGATGAATTTTGGGTGGTGTCTTAGACTGGAGAGAAGCAGCAAAAAGAAATTGCACATAGGTGTTCAGATGTAAAGCAAGCTTTTTAATCTAATGCAGTGGATAAATCTTAGTGCTGAGACTCTTTCAGACATGGAAAACTAAAGAACAAGACTAGGAAACAGAAGGAACCTGTGTTTGGCCTCTTTTGTGAGATGTGTGTAAAGTGGGATTTTATTTCTCCTCTTACATTTTGTAAATTAAGGCATGGGATCGGGAAAGGCATGCAGCCCGGACTGCTCCATGCAGATCCAGTGTGCTGTGATTAATGTCAGCTGTGGGAGCAATGCAGCCAGAGGCATGGAGGGAAAATGAAACCTCGGTTTTCTTTATACGCGTGGCCATGCCAAGAGCGGCAGGGACGGAAGATCCTCACCCTTCCTCCTGCAAAATTCGGGAAATGTCCACAGGGCTTCACCCTAAAAGTAGACATTTGAAATTCATTTCTTAGACAGTCTTCACAAGTGGAACTATTGTTCTGCTTGCAGTGTGTTTTAATGTCCCAGAAAAAGGAGGTTTATGGTGACTAAGCAGCTGAGTTTTTTCTTTACCCTGTTTGTGGCCAAGTGGGTTTTCCTCCTGGAGTACTGATAGCAGGATGGACAGCGTGCGATGCCCCCTCTGTCTTCAAGCTAACAGTGCCTGGGTGTCTGCTAAGGCATCTGCTTACCTTGTTTTATGTTCACAACAGCTCTGTGATGTGGCGAGAGCTGCCTTTCCCTATTTCACAGATGAGGAAACTAAGCCCAGGGTTGTACAACCGTTAGAATAGTGAAGTTAACCCAGATCTCTCTAAACCAATCTTCCTTCCTCCCTCCTCCTTCCCCTCCCTCCCTCCTTCCTTCCCTCCATCCCTTCCTCCCTCCCTCCTTCCCTCTCTCCCTTTTCAGATGTACAGAATAGGAAATAATATAAGACACACACAGATACCTACTATTCAGCTTAAAAAATAAAACATAAATGCAGCTGAAGCTTTCAGAGGATGCTTTTTCTATTATACTATTTGCCTGGACCACAGAGAGAATTATTCAGAAATTCATAGGAAAGCGTTTAAACTGGATGGAAATAAAAAGTTAATGACTTGGAAATTTTACTTAGAATCCAAAAAAAAGTGACAGAGAAGTAGGACAGTGCCTTGTCTTGATAAGCATAAGATTGAATTGGGAATTGTACAAACAAGTTGAAAATGGAAAGATTCTTTAAAACAATAAAAATTAAATATTTTGATATATGCCAAGTCCTCTGATACGTGGTGTGGGGAATACAGAGATGTGGTCCCCACCCTCAAGGGGAGGAAGCTCATAACATAGTAAGAAGCTGAATGCTGTAGAACTTTGATAGGTATTTCCTGAAAAGAGAACACATTCACATTTGGCTGGTGTGGCATATACAATAGAAGTTAAACTTGACTCACGAGAAGTGAATTTAAGTAACCTTGATGAAGCAACGGAAGATATTCTCCCCTTTTTAAAAGTCCACGCTGCTCTTTAATAGAGAATAACATAAAATGATGAGTTCATTTTTAAAAATTTATTTTTAAATGTAATTCAGAAACAACCCAGGGATAGCATCAGCCTTGATGGAAATCTGGCTCCCTGAAGGTGATTGCTGCAAAATCAGTATGTGTGAAAACTAAGATGCCAGACGGATGTTAAACAGTACACTGTCTAATATGAGAAATGCTGCAGCAGTAACAACATACTGTAAAAGGCAGCTGGGCTACTGACGCTGGGGATCCAATTTTAAGTAGTTGTCATGTCTTTACCTGCAGTCCTGGATCTGGGTCTTGGTTTCCTCAGGAATCACGAGGGTCCTTCCAGCAGATGTCTGTGGCGTCCGTGAGCATTCCAGAACATGCGTAACTTTGGAGCCATGGGGCAAAATCAGTACCACTAATTGCACTCCAAACCCAAGCCAGTGCAGGCTGCTGGGGTCAAGACTGTGTCAGGTTTCACCGTCAGGCTGAAGGTTCACCGTTGATTTAAACACAGGAGCGCTGGTCTCCAGGGAAAGGAATGAGAGGTTCATGCAACTGCTGAAGGGGAGCGCGCAGAGGTATTCCGTTGTCGCTGGATATCGGTCCATATGGGTGCCTTCACCGTGGCCTGGTAACACTTCTGGACCCTTGAATTACTCTGTTCCTGCCTGAATAATGGAAGTGGACGTTTTGCAAGTTGAGACTGACAAGTCAGTGACAACTGGTCATACCAGCCAGGTCTCTTTGTGTGTGTGTGTTGTTGTTTCGAGGAACAGGAGCTCCATCTCCAGATGACTTAAAAAGGGAATTTACTGGCTCACATAAGAGAGGAGTGCACGATCAGACGAGGCACGGCTGAACAGCGTCTGAACCTAGTCTCTCCATCCCCGGTTTCCTCTGTGCTGGCTTCATGCTTAGGTTCTTTGCTCACAGCCGCTACACAGCCGCTGGCAACTCCAGCCCTACTTTCGCACAGTTCTGACCAAAGCCCCGGGTCATGAGCCCGTTCCTTAGCAGTCACTATGGCAGGAGGGGAACACAGGGATCTCAGTGCCACGATGAGTCACGTGCCCAGCCCTGGAGTTGGGGGTAGTGTCAGTACTGTCTAAACTAGTGTTTCTCAAACTACTTCTTATTTTTGTTTTAATTTCCAAGTACAGACATTCTCTAACTCAGCTGTGTTCAACAAAATGAGCCCGCTGATCACGCTCTTGATTGTTGTGGCATAAAATTGTATTAAAGTTTCTAGATGCTTACCTGAATTTCATCTGGAATTGGGACCATCACCAAGAGACCACATGTTGTTAAGTACATTGCTGAACCACATGGACGAAGAAAGATGGTCACTTTCCTGGAAGGAAATCCGGGGAAACTATTACCAGAAGGGGGCGAGAATGCCCTGTGCAGAGAGATGCCCAACACAATGACTAATTCTGTAAATCCATCATTTGGAGAGGCCTCATCTCAGTGTTAGGAAATGGTTGGGTTCTGGATCATCTTCCTGGTGTAGGGTGAGAATTTACAGCCCCCTTTTTAGTTTAAGGATTGTGGATTCTTCAGGTTTGAGTTAGTGAGGAGGTCTCAGCTTGCTGGAGAACTGGCTGTCCCCTAGAGAGGCATGTGGCTCGTGCCAGGAGACTGACAGGCCAGGGCTGCAGGCGCCACTTGCCGAAGGGAAGAGTGAAAATAAGGTGGGCAGAAAGGCACACTTTCTCTGTGCTTTTAGACACCAGGCAGACATGACATGCTGTCCTTGCAGGGCAACTTTCTGTCCTGGCCGAGGCCTTTGGGTGTGTTGGCCATTCGGAAGCAGGCATTGTAAACTGGGTCCCTGCAGACGCATTCGTGAGAAGGGGGATTAGAACATGTCAGCCGCACGTCACAGCACGAGAGCCTGGCACTGACACTCGGGCCCCCCACCGCCGCAGGCCCGTTGCCCAGAGGTTATTCTGACATACTCAGCGGCACTGCAGTTCGCCGGCACGGGTTCTTGGTAGCGTGTTCTGTGTGGACTGACAGGCCCGTCAAAGAAGGAAAGCCACTGTCGGCCGGACTAGGGGACTTTGGGACTAGTGGAGCACAGAAACTGCGGTCACCCCCACCTGGATGGCTGTTTGCTGTGGTGACAGCTGTACGAGTCACAGACACAACTGCTCGGGCTGTAAGCCTGCCTAACTGCAGCCGACAAATATAAAGCCGGCTCTTACAGGGCAGGACGACAGTGTCTTCCTCCCTAGATAGCCAGTCATAGCTTGTACGTGTTCAGCGTTAAGAATTTGGTGGTGGCACGATGAATTAACGTGTAATAAACGCCCCAACGCCATGTCAGTTCCTCGCTGAGTGTAGATAGCACGCGTTAAGATGGTAGTGGGGGCAGTGTGCTCCTTTCTTCATGCCCAGGGGTTCCAGTGGCAGAGTTAGTTCTGTGCCTGGTGACCTGTACGTTCTAGTGAATGCAGGTCCTTTGTCTTGTAGGGGAAAAAAGCTCGCCTATGACAAGCCAGAGTTTCCTAATGAAAGAGCTGTAATTTGGGAGATGAGATTATTTTGGAGGAGGGCAGGCCTTTTCCAGATGTGGTTAGAGCGGTTCGTAAACACAGTCTGCAGCTGCCCCTGGGTTTAAACAGCCTCTGGGGCATCTGTAAGACACCTCATGTGGTGCGGGACAGTCTGACGAAGTCTTTGTTCCTTCAGGATGCCCGTGTGGGGAGGTGGAAACAAGTGTGGGGCCTGCGGGCGGACCGTGTACCACGCGGAGGAGGTGCAGTGTGATGGGCGAAGCTTCCACCGCTGCTGCTTTCTGTGCAGTAAGTACCTCCCGGAATTGATGCTGAGAAGCTTCGGTTCACTTCTTGAAGGGAAAAGCTGTGGTGTTGTTAACAAAGATTATTTTAGAAGCACAAGTGGTTTTTGCCTGTCTGTCCCCCTAGACATTGTAAATGCTCAGCCCAGCAGCCAGGGCAGCAGGGGTGACCGGGACACCTGGCCTTCCAGTGTCCCCAGAGCTCTCAGCCTCCACTGGGCCTTTCCTGCACTGACTTCTTCTCACCTCCGTCCCCGCTTCACTCAGAGCTCGGGTCGTTCACAGCCTGGCACCCGCAGTTTCTGGCGCGTCCTGTGGGCCTGGCTGTGGCTTCTGATTGGATGGCCCCTCCTCGCCCCAGCTTGCTTTCTGGCTGGGCTCCTTCTCTGACATCTACTTGCTGTTTCTTACCACACTGTTAGTTGAAATTCAGATGTCTGGAAGCTCATCTTCTCTAGAGGCTCAAATTGTCTTCTTTGGTAGTGAATAATCAGAGTTATTTCTGGTTATTGATATCCTAAATTGGAGGGAAAGGAACTTAGGATATGAAAATCTCATAGAGCAAGTTGGGAATTACTTTGTTTATAGATGGGAAATGATCAGAGTGTCTGATATAGACAGGAAGTAGGACATAAAACAGCACGTGCCCATATGCTCGAAAGACAGAGTGCCTGATAACAAGAGAAACAGAACAAGAGATGAGCTGTCGCTCTGCCCATTCCCTCTGTGACAACGAAGTGTTCAGTTTTTGTTGTTTTTTTTAAATATTTTTTTTTTTAAAGATTGGCCCTAACATCTGTCGCCAATCTTTTTTTTTCTTCCTCTTCTCCCCAAAGCCCCTCAGTACATAGTTGCATATTCTAGTTGTGAGTGCCTCTGGTTGTGGCATGTGGGACGCCGCCTCAACATGGCCTGATGAGTGGTGCCATGTCCATGCCCAGGATCCAAGCCGGTGAAACTCTGGGCCGCCAAAGCAGAGCGCACAAACTTAACCGCTCGGCCACGGGACGGCCCCAAAGTCTTCAGTTTTAAAACAGGAGAGTAGCTGCTTCAGAAAGCTCTTCATTAATCACCTGATTCAAATGACAAAATTTTCTTTCGTGCAGGCTCTGTCAGATGAGGAACTCACCTGTATGTGCAGACACTTGCTGTATCTATAGTACCGTACAGTGAAAATTACTGTTAGAAACTGCATCTAATAAAACATAAATCACGTCACACTAAGAAATAATCTTCAGGAAAAACTTGTCTCTCAAATTGTAGTTGTCGTTTTCCCTCCCGGCACCAGTCTTCAAGGGGTCAGGGCTTGCCTGCAGCATCACTGCTTCACGGACAACCGGGAGCAGGCCACAGAAGGTCAGTTACAGAGAGCAGAAAGACAGCAGATGCGTGTTTGCTGTGTGCCTCCAGACTCGCCGCCACTTCGCAGATTTGCCTTAACCATTTCTTCTCTTAGAAGTTCCTTTTTTTCCCTTAAGGAATGTATTTTTCTGGCAGGTTTCTAACCAAAAGAGTACGTGAACAAAGAGGAAAGGCAAATACTTTAGAAACTGTTGTGAGTTTCATCTGGGTGAAGCCATGATGGCTAGACCAAAAGTTAGTGTTTACTAAACGTCGGGCTCCTCCTAAGGTCTGTCTCTGTGCACTACAGCCTTGTAAGGAAGTGGTTCTGAGGGGTCTCCAGGCCTAGACGACTTTGACTGCGGAGGAGGCCGAGGACGCGGGGGCGAGAGTGGCGAGAGGAACATTTTCATATGCTTAAACTTGCTTTGGTTAGTAGATATGTGTTTTTCAAAGCTTTTTATATTTATATATATTTATTCTGCCTGCTAAGGGTGTTTGTTCTTCCGCAGTGTGTGGTTTTAGGGTAGCTGTCTGAAGTAGATGCGTCATTCTGAGCCTCAGCAGCATTCTATTCCACCAGACAATACAAACTTCGTCACCTCCCCCTCCTTTAAACCAGCCGGCTAGCCTTTCCCTGTCCTTCTGTCTGTCCTTCCTCCTTTTGTTTCTCCCCTTTTGAATAAGGGGGAGAATCTCCTTTTCTACTACACTCATCTTGGATTTCCAGCTGCCCCACTGTGCTACCAGTGAGCTCCCTCATAATTTCTTTTTTTCTCAAGCTTAATTGAAGTTTTATAAAGTGAAATAATGTCTGGATAGAACATGAGGACATCTGGCAGTTTTATGAAGTGGGATACGTGGAAATGGGGCAAGAACTCCATCAAGAATGAATGTGTTCTCCTTTGGGACAGAAGAGGAAACACATGCAGACTGTAAAGCACTCGCCGTTTTCCAGCGCACTCAGCGCTGCGGGGGAAGCGGGCCGAGATGAGAGAAATGCTGTTTCCCTTTTAGACTAGTGATGCAACCTCAACTTCTGGATTGCAAACTGTTTTTGTCCCAGGGGGTCCTTTCTGGGCACGAGGGTCTAAAGAGGCAGCTGCCCCAAGGTGCACTCGGCTCCCTTTGCTCTGTCTTAGGTTGTGATCCAACAGTCCTTGGATGAAGATGCTGAAAAGGTGGTGCTGAGGGTCGGGAGCACAGTGTTCCTTTTATTCATGTCATTATTGCCATCTCTGAAATTGGCTCCCTCCTGCCCGAGAGGCAACCCATATTCAATGTGTGAGGCTTCAGGATGTTAACGTTCCGAGATATTTCTGAAACAACTGTCATATCCATAGAGGAAGGCAAATCGCCATCCAGCGTGGCTGAGCCTCCAGATGCTGTCCCCTGGCTATTGGGAAGCCACAGAATAAACAGGGAATGTTAGCGAGCCTGTGCCTTTACCACTTGTGGACCATGTGTCAGCGCTGCCATTGTTCTAAGGAAAAAGGCATCTTTGACACACTTTTAAAGTCTAGCTTTTCCCCCCTCAGTGGTTTGCAGGAAGAATTTAGATAGCACCACAGTGGCAATTCATGATGAAGAGATCTACTGCAAATCCTGCTACGGGAAGAAGTATGGGCCCAAAGGCTATGGGTACGGCCAGGGCGCGGGCACGCTCAACATGGACCGTGGCGAGAGGCTGGGCATCAAGCCGGAGAGGTGAGTGAGTACTAGGTGTCACCCTAGAAATGAGTTATAACAATTCATGTGCTTGGGGAACAGGGATCTGGGAGTTTCCGGATTTATAGCTTAAATTAAGTAAATGACTAATTTTCTAGTGTAAATTAGTGACTATTCTTTAAGCTCGAAATACTGAGTTTTGGACCTGACACAGTTCTTACTGACTTTTCCAGTGGTTCCTAATCCTGCTTTTAGAGCATTCTAAGGTGTGTCAGGGGGTCATGATGTTCCCAAAAGAGGTCTGAATTTACTTCATTTCACAGCACCTTGGGGACCAGACGCCAGGAGCTCAAAGGATAGAGCAGTGTGGCATCTGAGTCACGAGATGCGTGTCTCATGAGCAATTGAGCGGTCAATGAAAATTCCTGTCACTCCTTCCGCGTAAGACTATTTCCTCATCAAGAAATTGCTTTTCTATAACTTAAAAATTGAAATGATTTTCTGTTTTTGATTCTTTGAAAGATTAGTGTTAAACTTTAAAGGTTTCAGTAGCAAAGTGCTAAGTTTGCTAAACTTCTCTTAGTATTTCAGGCTCAGGCTATGTAATTTCTTCATTTGGAATTTCCTCTTAATCCCTATTTTTGGTCCAGTAATTCCCCCACATGAACTCACATTTTTCACATCCATTTTATATTGAAGATGTCAAAATTGGTGTAATACCCCAAGAAGATGGCCATTGGATAAGACCATTAACGGTGTCCTTACTGTGGGCTGGACGCCAGGCTGGACTAATAACACGTGTTCACTCGTGGACTGCTTGCAACAACCCTGAAGGCAGGGCTTCCCGTCTTACTCAAGAGCAGATTGAGACAATGAGAATTCAGTGATTTGCCTAAAATCGTACTGCTAGTTAATTGTAGAGCCTGGAACTTAACCTAGTGTAACCCCAAAGCTTGCACTCTTAAAACATGATGCATAAGGTATGCCTGAAATAATGATTATTGAGTGCCTACTGTCTGCCGACCGTCTGTGCTCATCATAGATGATCCTCACAGTAACTGTTAGAGTTCAGATACTTGGCCCCTATCATGTAGATGGGACACTCAGGGTCAGGTCACACAGGTAAGCAGCAGAGCCAGGATTGGAGCTTGTGTCCGTTTGGCTCCCAAACCTGTCCTCTCTCCATGGCACTGGGGCCACCTCTCTGTTCCTCGGTTTCCCCCCTGGTTCCAAGCCCTGGCGCCTTGCAGCAGTTGTACAGGGCCAGCTCACTCCTGGTGCGTGCCGTCACCTGCAGGAGCCCGGCTTCCCTTTGTCTTTGTTAGAGTTCATTGTTCTTGCTCTGCTCTCCTTTTCTGAGTTATTAAAACTCATTCTTGTTTCCCAAGATTTCACTGGGTATAAAACCTCTTTCCTCCTGCTTGCCCACCCTCTCCAGGCATTGGCGAGCCCTCTGTGCTGGCCTGACTCGCTCTGTGCCTTGAACTCTTCCTCTTCTTAGCCTGGCCACAGGCTGCCTTCCTTCAGGACCAGGTAGAGGGACTTCCTTTTCCAAGACGCCTTTCTTAAAGACTGCACTCGGGGACACCTGTGGTCTGGGCCATGCTGGTGGCATGTGGTAATTGTAACAGCTTTGGGGACCAAACGTCTTTCCGAGGATCTCCTGGAGAGGCGGCAGAGTGGGCAGAACTGCCCCTGAGGCCAGCCTGCACTGTTCACCAATTCAGCAACCTCTAGGCCCTCAGGCAGTTACCTAATACCTAAGCCCCCAGTTCTTTATCTGTAATCCGAGGTAACCAGTAGCGATAGCCTACAACGTTGTGAGAATGCAGGGGAAAGAGAATCTCTCTGAGGTTCTTGTTAACATAATCGGCAGATGTGGAAATTTTTCTCGGGAAACTCATAAATGCAAGTATTGGCTATCCTTCTGAACAGCGTTTAAAATCACTTTTGGAAGTAGGCACATACAGTAGGTTGTGGAGATGATTTGTAATATGCTACATTAGGAACAGAAAAACCAATGCTGTGAATTAGTACTTGAATTGGTATTTGTTGCTTAGAATAAAATTTCCAGTGGCCACCCCAAACACGGTTCATGAAATGCCTTGTATTAAATAGCTTGGGTGGAGGCACAGAAGACTGTTAAATGACCCAAAAGTGGCTAAAGTGGAGATGAAGATACTGAAGACGCAATTGGAGAGTTTGAAGAAACTGTTTTATGAAACGGCAGTATTTCTAAATTAACATTTTATTTTAAGTGTGTTTGTAACTTCATAAAATGGAACTTAGAAAACGTTTGTTCCCATAGGAGAACTGACCTGGGCACCACCTTCTGCTTGCCCACTGGTTAGATCTTAGCTGCTCTACAAACTTACAAGGTTCTAGAAGGGTCTCTAAATCTTCCCAAAGCCCAGAATGGTGTTCTGCATAGTAGGTGCGCCTGCATCTTGAATGGAAAAAATTAGAGCAAGGAAAATATGGATTACCGGGTGACCTGTAAATAATGACAAAAATACCACTCTACCCAGAGAAAAAGTAAAAATAGATCACATAGGAATAGGCAGATTTTCTAAAATATTCCGTGCAGAAAATAATTTTTCAGTTTCCCCTATTTGAGACATACTAAGAAATTAAGTATCTGTAAAACATACTTAACTTTCTTACTTGTAGACTACTTACTTATAGGACCCATTTGCAGAAACTTAACTGCTAAGTTAATGATTTTTCAATCTTACGTGACATGAAAGGCTAGATGCGATTCTAGTGGTACTAATATATGAGTCTGGGGTAAAAATACGTGCTACGGTAGGTTTTTATAAAGCACAGAATAATTGTTGAGTGCAGAGGCTAGCACTGGGGAGCAGGTGAATTTCGATGAGTTTACACTCGGGGACAGAAATGTTAAGTCTGGGGCCTTGTCTGTCCGTCTGTACTAATAATAAGCCCATAAATAGGTTCAAGTAATAACTGACCAGCACCTGAGACTCGTGCTGCCTTGTGGACTTAGACGGGCCTTTTGGAGAATCTTGCCTAATATTTTCCCCCTTTCCACAAGTGTTCAACCTCACAGGCCTACAACAAATCCAAACACTTCTAAATTTGCTCAGAAATACGGAGGCGCGGAGAAGTGCTCCAGGTGTGGCGATTCCGTGTATGCTGCCGAGAAGATCATTGGAGCTGGAAAGGTACGGTGCCGTTGTGAGTTAATGACAGTGAAAGACTACTCTCCACGCCCTTTCTCCTCCCCTGAACCCGCCACATCCCACGCAGGCACTCGGTCTCATAAATAATGCCTTGGATTAAACTTTTTTAAATCAAATTTCCATCTGAATCATTAATTTTTTGAGGTGATGCCCTTATTTGACAGATCACATCTATGTTTAAAAGAAACTTGTTTTCACGGGGGGTGCTCCCGAAGGTTCTTACCTAAAAAGGCCGGACTGTTAACAAATTGGGACCCTGCAGTTTTATTCAGTGTAATGAAGAAAAGCAGCGAACCAGAGTCAGGACCCCTGATGCTAATGCGGTGTGTGGATTTGGAAATGTTCCATAAGCACATCACCTCTTGAGCTGCAGTGTTCTCAGGCTTCAAATGGGCGCACAGGCCTGCGGCCAGGTCCAAGACTGCACCCAGAGAAACGCCCTCAGGCACAGCTCCCAGCCCTTGTCTTCCATGAAGGAAGTCCGAACCCAGCCGTTTTGTGGGTGACCAAGAATGTAGACACTGGGCAGGTCCAGTTCCAGCCTGCTAGTGGGCTTTGGACCATGGCACCCAGGCGCTTGCTTTGGGTGGATCTTTCTGAGCCCCTTCCTGCCACAGCATCAGCATCAGCATCGGCATCAGCATCAGCATCTAAATTGTGCTCCAGGAAACCGGCCTCTCAACCTTACTCTTCTGTCCGTTCCAGCCCTGGCACAAAAACTGCTTCCGATGTGCCAAGTGTGGGAAGAGTCTTGAATCAACAACTCTGACTGAGAAAGAAGGTGAAATCTATTGTAAAGGTAAAATTAATTTCAGTTATCGCTATCCATGTGAATAGCCCACACTGGCTATTGGTTAGAACAAAAGAGTACTCTGCGGATGGGGGAAAGAGGGGGATAGTGTCTCTGGCTATTTGAAAAGAAAAGATCTAGAGATGCTTTCAGATGACGGAAGCACAGAACAATTTTAAATGATACAATTAAGTTCCTGATCATTTAAAACTCCCCTGCAAATAAAAGCAAACAGAAAACCTCACCACAGACAGTCTTCTTTCAACTTCATGTTTTAAGCAAAGCCTGTGAGGATGTGCTTTCTATGTACGAGTAGAGAAGGTAGTAGACAAATATGTAATTTGCCGGCCTGCCTTCTATGCCGGGCATGCAGTGGGACCGAGACTACCCACTGTGGAACCAGGATGCCTCACTTGGCCCTGGCAGCTGTAAGATATTTGCTACCTGGCACATCTTATGCAAGGCGAACTTTTTTGGGCATAGCCAACAGTTTTTTACGTTATGGGGTCTGATGTGTGGGTCTTAAGCAATGCTAGCAAAGCTTAATGGACTGGTACTCACTCTCCCTTTTCTTTTGTAGGATGCTATGCAAAGAACTTCGGGCCCAAGGGATTCGGCTACGGCCAGGGAGCAGGAGCCCTTGTTCACGCTCAGTAAAGGTGTGACCCCAGAGCCGGGTCCCAAACGGAGGATCTCTACGTCTCTAGGCACAGATAACCCAGCACTAAACTACTGTGAACCTCTGCGGGCACTGAAGTACTGTGTCTCGCCCTGTCCTGGGACAGGCTGGCTGACGCGTAGGAAGAGCACTGTATCCTTCTGCTTTATTCATCAGCATTTTCGAGAACCATTTCTTTTACATTTTAAATAAAACTGCAGCTTGACTGGGGTGTTCACTGTCTTTCAGTTACCTGCATGTTACTAGATGGAGTGCACCCCGTTGCACAGTTGCCACACTAGGTTCACGTTTGCAGTATAGCTGTTGGAAAAGATCTCTCTCTAAACTGGCAAGTGTGACTCGAGAGTGCGGGCCACAGGCCGCAGCGTTCAGGCTCCCAGAGCTGGCGTTCAGCAGGGCCATGTCTCCTGCCTGCTCCTCTCGCTTGGTGGTTACTTGTCTCCCTTTGGGAGCAGTTTCCTAAAGCATAGCTCCTAGACAACGTGCATTACAAGCACCTGGGAGCATTAAAAGGCAGATTCCTGGGCTCCACTCAGCCCCACAGAAGCAGAGTCTCTAGGGGCAGGGTCCCAGAAGCCATTTCAACAAGCTCATCAGAAAGGCACACTGACCCAGGGTGGGCACACCGTAAACCCAAGCGCTTAAAAATTCCTTCTCTGTACCTACAGATCATTACCAACAGCCACCTACAGACCACGGCGGAACGTGAGGCTGAATGTGACTTTTTTAGACTCTCCACTCTAATCTGATAGGCGGTGATTTACTAAATCTGGAAACGGGTGCTTTTCTCACATCTCACTTCTATATCAGTAGCAAAGAACATTGCGCTGTCCTGGCACATTCAGTGGGCTCAGGGAGAAAAGGAGCACTAGATGATAAGGAGTATCTGCTTTATTGTCCTAGAAACTTCTAGTTCTTTACCAAAGACTCATCCAACCCTTTATTTTTCAGGGGTAGGGTGTGAAATTGGCCTGTCATGTGTATCGATCTGTGAACAAACCATCTTTTACAAAGCCTGTTTCAACATACTATATTGCTTATTTTGAAAAGCTAACGGGGGTGTGTTATGTATGACATCAAAAAAATAAGCAGAAACTTAGGAAGATTGAGCAAGGGTATACCAGGTGAAAGAAGTCATGCTTGCTGACATCCCAGCCTTGAGCACTTCACCTATTCTGTAAGGCATACCGCTTCCATTGTGGGAGAGGGGAGGGCCTTTTTGTTAAGAAGGCTGGGGAAATTATTCACCAATAAAGGAGAAAGGTTGAATTGAAGAGTTATGGAGTAACTTCTAATTCTATATGTGGTAGTTTTAAAACATGCCTACAAGTTCTTTGACAGTCCCATCAAAAGAGTAATTCCCCTCCCTTTGAATAAAGGTCAACCTTGGTGACTTTTTTTTTTTTTTTCCTTGGTGAGGAAGATTGGCCCTGAGCTAACATCTGTTGCCAACCTTCCTCTTTTTGCTTGAGGAAGAATGTCCCTGAGCTACTATCTCTGCCCATCTTCCTCTGTTTTCTATGTGGGACGCTGCCACAATGTGGCTTGACCAGCAGTGTGTAGGTCCACACTCCCAAGTGTGACCCCTGGGCCACTGAAGTGGAGCACACAAACTTAACCACTACGTTTCAACCACTGGGCCGGCCCCTTGGTGACTCATTTTGAACTAACAGAATATGATGGACAGGAATAGCTTAGAAAAGACAACACAGCTTTTGCCTGCCTCTTTCTCTTGGCATGCTCACTCCTGGAACTCGGCCGCTGTGTTTTGAGGAAACCCTGACGACATGGGGAGGTCACATGTAGGTGTTACAGCCATACCCCAGCTGAGGTCTCGCCCATCGGCCATGTGAGCGCACCTTCAGGTCCTCCAGTCCCCAGCTTCTCGACCACCCAGCTGACACCCAGTGGAGCAAAGGGAGCTATTCCTCTTGAGTCCTGACCAAATGGCAGGTCTGTGAACAAAAATACTGCTTTAAGCCACTAACTGTTGGGGTGGGGTGGTAGGCTGCTATAGATAACCAGAATGTTCTATAGATATTAAACTTCCCCACACAGAGCCAGCATTTCCCACACCGACTGCATTTCCCAAATTGTATTGGAAATGCTAGTTCCTATCTGAGGAAAAGACAGTGAAGTTGCCAGGTGCGTGATAATTTGAGATTTTTGCCCGATAAACAGTTTAGACAGCCATTCAAAATTAAAATCATCCTTAAATTGGGAGCTGTGGCAAACAGCTGCTCCAAAACTGTGACCTTAGCTTCCAGAGGTTCCAAGAGGGGACAAGGGGACTTGGCTTTGGGCAGAACTCGCTCTTTCGGTGAGGAATCACGTCATCATGTGGTCGTAAGTTGACGGGGTGGCCTCAAAGTAATCCAAATGCGATATTAAGGTGCTGCATGGGAAATAAACAGTTATTTTAAAATGACCCATCTGGGATATTTTCAGCCCCTTGTGGTGGGGTGGTATATTTCTAGAGGACTGCCGGCAATTCTGATGGCGGAAAGTCAGGATCCGTTGGGCGTGGGGAGTGCTGCAGCCAGCGGTCTGCGTGTCTGCGTCCCTGTAGGTGCACGGTGCACACTCGCACGTGGAAGGCCTCAAGATCCTGTTGAGAAGCCTGTCTGAACTTGAAGAAAGCCTTACACTGACAGTTGTCCACGGACCCAGTGACATCTTAAGGAACACTGGGAAATGTTGGTCAGGACTTGGTTCTCAAACTTTTTGACCCCTTTCCAATTCTTAAATTACTGAGGACCCTAAAGAGCTTTTGTTTATGACAGTTATATCTACCAATATTTTCCAGACTAGAAATTAAACAAAATTTTTAAAAAATATATTAACTCAGACTTCCACTTACAGCCAAATGGACATAACAGGGACCAGATTTACTCTCACTTCAAACAACCAAAAACACAGACAAATTACATTAAAAAAATATGGTTTTCAGGACACTGGACAGGAGGCACCCAAGAACAGTTACGGGGAAAATGCCATCTGTCTTAGGGTTAGCACAGCTTACTGCTTTGAGAGTTTCCAGTTTCCAGTGCAAGGAGGGAGAACGCGGGTGGAGCTGGAAGGCATCTAGAGGGACAAGGCCGCGAGAGTTCGAGGAGCTGGAGAGAGCTGCACAAGAAACGAAACACAGAGCACTGCTCAGCCCCTACCTCACAAGTCTTCAGCTGAGTTCTGACAGCACGTGCGTGTCAGCTAACTACCCAAGACCATGGACAAAGCCATGTGACAGACTTAAAGGGAACGCTGTCTGGTGCTCCTACAGAGCCAGGAAGAGCGCCTGTTCCCACCAGTAGGAAATGATTCCTGGGGCTTTGGATGGAGTACACAGGTCTCGCTTCAGTAACGAGGAATAATTAGCTCTAAATTGAACACTGCTCCGGTCCTAACAAATTGTGTTTAACAGCAAAGCCTAAAAGGTCAGTTTCCAAATAACTGCATCCCACAACAGAGCATTTTTTATAGGAATACAAAAATAGCCAGAACTCAATTCAGAGTGTGGCACCCTATCCAAAGTGACCAGGCACGCAAAGCAGCAGGCAAATCTGACCCATGATGAGGGAGAAAAGTCTACCAAATCTGACCCAGACCTGACACAGATGTGGAAATCAGCAGGTAGGTATTCAAACAATTAATTACAATTGTACTCCATATTTTCAAAAAGTTAAGTAGAGATCCAGGACATAGGAAAATTGTCCAAATCAAATACTGTAGGTGAAACCTATGATGTGGGAGATGAAAAATACACTGAATGGTATTAATGACAGACTAGACATACAGAAAAAATTTAAGTGAACTTGACAAAAAAACTATCCAAAATAAACACTGGAAAAAAGAGAACTTAAAAAATGAATTGATCAGTGAGCTGTAGGACAATCTCAAGCAGCCTAATAAATGTGTACCTGGAGTCTCCAGAAAGGGGACAGGAAAAGTATTTGAAGAAATGATGACTGAGAAATGCCCCAATTTGATGAAGACGGTAAACCTGCAGATCTCAGCAGCGGCAGCAGCAGTGAGCCTTCCGATGCTTTGACTGGAAACCGTCCCTCTCTGAGCCCTGGAAACTCTGCTGTCTGTCAAGTATTTGTCAATCCACGTAAGTGTCTGATGACAGATTTCTAGTAAAATTTATCTGAGCAAAACATTCAAACTCCAATTCAAAGGCAACAAGGGTTTTCTAAGAGACACATCCAGTTTCCTTGAGTTTGTGACTTAGCTGACCTGGAAGAAGGGACATCTGAGTGTTCCACTTGGAATTACAAATTTTTCTATTTTAAAAGTCACATAAGAAGAACTTTATGAAATGAAAGGTGTGCTTTCTGACAGAAGCTATGATTTCTTGTCCTGGTATGTACCACTTGTTTCCAGTTACCTCTGTAACGACACTCTTAGACCCCGACACCCACATCATAGGTAGTCTTCCAATCTGGGCAGGACCAGGGGATCCAGACAGTCGACACGGCGGAGGAGACAGGCACCTTACCGGGATGGAAACTGATGGCCTGCTGTGGAGTTGCCTTGATTTTATAAACTGGTTCAAAATATTGTTACTCGAGCTCTACATAGCTCTGGAGGGATTACTTTCAATATTATAATAATGAAATGAGTCTTAGTCCAATCTGAAAACATTCATTACCACTGGGTTCTCAGTTGAACCACAGACCATCATGTGAACAACAGAAAAGGGTTCCTTCATGATTTCTGCTTTTAAAAGTCCCAAATAAAGATGCTTTCTTTGTCACGCATAGCTTCTCAAGTAAATGAGATCAATGCTTGGTAGGTTTCCTTTTGCCATATTTCACTACAGTGCCTTTAGACATACATATATTTAAAACCTGGAGATTCACATAGTCCCTGAGGATCCTAATTAACTCCATGGAATCCAAAATTCTTAAAGAAAAATGTATTCTCTTTATTAAAAAAAATTAGTTACATACACACATACATACAGAACTGGAGTTTTTTCCAGAATACTCCTACCACGTTTTACTTTTGCCAATTTCTACCGTCTTGTGACCTGAATCCTAGTGACCCAGATAGAAATATATAGAAAAATCTTTTCATATCATAGGTACCACAACCAGTGTCTCATCAATTTCTTGAAGTGAACTGAGTAAAATAACAAACAAGCACACATTTAAGAGTCAATATTTATTCTGATTAATATTTTACAAAATTTTGACAGATTTAATTTA